CCTCTCTCTCTCTCTCTCTCTCTCTCTCTCTCTCTGTCTCTCTCTATCTCTCTCCCCCGATGCTGATCCATCCTTCGCTCCGTCCGTTTGACTCCGTAGGTTGCTGTCGGACAACGACAAGAAACCGTTCATCGAGGAGGCTGATCGGCTGCGCGTGATCCACAAACGCGAGCATCCGGACTACAAGTATCAACCCCGTCGGCGAAAGCAAAACGGGCCGTCGGGGAGGGAGGGGTCGCCGTCGAGGAACCAAAGCAACGTGACTTTCAACGTGTCCAGGTCGTTGAAGCAGGAGGACGCGAGTCCACGCCCCGTCCAGGGGCCCAACTCGCCTCAGAGCGGAGTCAGCTCGTCCCCCCCGACCACCCCTAATCAAGGATTGTCGCCACCCACTCCTCCCACCACTCCCCGCGGACAGCATTACGCGAATCAGGTAACGTAAGAACGCAGGCACGTGTCGTACACGCGTGATGTATATATATATATAGTCGCGTCGATGGCGAAACGGTGGCGAAAAAAAGTGTTGTCTTCCCGGCAGGGGAATCAACCGCAACCGAGCGCAACCATGTACCACCATCATCATCAAGAGTTGGGAATAGGTAGCTCGACCACCGAGTCGTCGCATCAACACCAACATCAGCCGGGAGTCGATTTCAGGTACATCGAGGTGGGTGACGGTCTACCGATCGAGGAGGGCCAATTGAACGGACTCGGATCGTTGGCAGCCGTTGGTCTAAATCTTCCGTTGAACCTTCAAGAGTGCGAGGTGGAGAGCAACGAGTTGGACCAGTATCTTCGCCCTCAAGCGGTGCCTCCACCGGTGCACGTACCACCAGCGCCTACCACCACCACCACCTCGTCCTCGTCCCCGTGGATATTCAACAGGTAATCGCCCGAAATTCCCTTCGTTTCCTTCCTCTCTCTCTCTCTCTCTCTCTCTCTGTCCCCCTCTGTTTCGTTTTGAACGCGTCGCTTTTCAGATACGACGAAGAGATGGAGAGACCGAGCAAGCGACACTGCTCGGAACCGCAGCCGATAGGCGAAACTTCCTGGGAGGATCGAGCACAGGCGGACATAGTCAGATATCACGAACTTCAGCCCCCTCTCCCCCCCATGCAATACATATCCTCCTCCCACAATTCGCACTATTCGCACACGAGCACGCAGATGAGCCATCCGCACGTGTCCACGTCCTACGCGCAATACCAACGTTACGTACCTGGTATCGAAACTTGGCCTCATTACATGTAAGCGGGAAGGGGGAGGCGAACCTTAAAAGAGAAATTACACGCACACACATACACACACACACACATACACAGCAACGAAGGATCCTTGTTGTTGGGAGTTACGATTCCTCCGCATCTCCCTCCTCATTTCGATCCAGTTTTTTTTTTTTTTTTCCCCCTAACAGATTTTATCGCTGATTTTGTTCACAATCCCGTCTCTGTAAGCACGCGTACGCGTTCAAGTGTGCATAATATAAGTGTGTGTGTATATATATATATATACACACATATAGAAAGTTGTGTACGTCGTGTATATACGTTAACGTACGTATGCGCGCATTAACAGAAGAGGAAAATTGGATCGTGCGAAATCTATCGACCGGTTGGAAGTTTCCGCGTTTCGTTCGCGTTGGAAACGCGTTGCTCCGATCGTTGGACGCGTCGAAAGAGAAGGACGCGAGAGAAGCCACGATCTTACTCCATGACATCATTCCATGACAGTCGGCCATTCCAAAGCGCAGAATTTCAGGCTAAACAAACAGCACGCTCGATACGATACCCTGCCGCGTGATCTAAATATAATAATAATATATAAGGCTTGAAGTGTGCGTATATACCGGCCTTTGCGCTCGCGAGAGACCGAACCGGCGTACGCCGCTTGCTTGCCACGCTCTTCAAAATAAACTCGCGAAATTCGATCGCGATCGTGGTCGAGTCGCGAAAAACCACTGCTCTCTCTCTCTCTCTTTCTCTCTCTCTCTCTCTCTCCGAATATTCGAACGATGGATCGGCCACCGCCGGCGGATGTATCACTTTTTCTTTCGGGGATCGAGTCGATTTCAGTCAGAAGAATCTCAACGGGGAGGGCGATCGTATCGAGCGATGAATCGCGAGACGAGAAGCACGAGAAATCGTCGAAGGTAAATAAGGTATTAAACGCCGATAACCGTGCTTTTGTACTTACATTTATCGTTTAGATATACGATTTATCGCGCATCCTGTAACAAGCGCGAACTTGCGTAGAACTTGTAGTGTGTACGTTTAACGGGCGAGCGTTCGAATTAAGCGTTAATTTATAAGTATGACGATATGTTGTAAGATTTGTCCGAAAAATAAAGGAGAAAAAAAAAAAAAGAAGAAAGAAACAAGAGTTTTTTCGAGTCGAATGACGACGATAAAATGTCTGAACCCTTCCTCTCTCCGTGGGAGATCGTTTGAATTTCGCGACGAGACGCGTAGACGCGTACGATATTTTCGCTAGTCGCTAGATCGTTTTGGGCTGTTGAGCGTTCGCGCGATATAATATAACAAAACAAGCGAAAAAGGACAAATATTTGAGGAGTTGGAAGGTTAGAGTCGAGCCCGGAATAAAGGACGGAGGGAAATAGAAGAAGCCGCGAATGGACCGTTCCAAGTTTTTTTTTTTTTAAGAGCAAACAGGCCTTATCGCGGAACGAATATCCGTCCGACGAACGAACGTGGGAATAGCGGTGTCGCGACTTTTACGCCACTTACACCCGCGGACTCGAGATTAAAACGAAGGGCCACGCATGTTTTTCGTCCGACGATCGCGTCGTTCGCTCTCTCGACGGATCGTTTTTCGGATCGGAAGAGAGTCGAGTCGAGTCGAGTCGAATCTCGTCGCTCGATATCGCGAACAAAGAAGCGAACCTCACGATTCGATTCGAGCGCGATTCGAAACTCGTCGTGTTGGGCGACGTTGGATGAATTTTTCTCCTTTTTTTCTTTTCCTTTTCCTTTTTTTTTTTTCTTTTTCGAATCGACCAGCGAAGAAAAAAAGAAAGAACGAGAGGGAAAAGGAAAAAGTTGACGAGAGTCAGCGTTCCACAGCTGTTTGGTTTTTTCGCGGGTACTCGTGTCGCGTCGGTCTCGAGATATCTCGAGCCTTCTTCTCTCCATCTCCATCTAAATGTCTCTTCTCGGGATTCTTCGAGAGTTTGGTAAAACTAACGATGCACGCCCAACGAGTGCTTGCTTGCTTGCTTGATTCTTGACCCCGGAAACTCGCGTGTCTCGATCAACTTGTTATTATTAATCGGATTATTAATTCGATCAAGGCGAGGAGGGCGAGGTGACGCGAATACGATGCAATGGTTCGTCGGGGATACACCTTTTATCGAAGATTTTCAAGATTGTTCCGCGAAGCGAGGGAAAAAAATGTCGAAATCTCGCGTGGAGCGGTCCGGATACGAAGCGAGTCACGGACAAAGAGGCATTCAGTTATAAAGTTATCGAGACGTTCGGTCGATATAATTAATTTACTGCGGGCTCGGTCTTCTCGCGCTAATCACCGGCGCGCTTTTAATCTCGGAATCCATAAATATCACGATGCTGAAAGACGGAGGGAATTCTCGCGAAAGCAGGAAGCGATCGTCTCCTTTGCCTAGTTTTTTCCTCCCCTCCCCCTCCCCCAACACCTCCTCTTCCGACCCGATCTCTTTCTCTCCCCCCCCCTCCCCCCGATTTTCGACGCGTGTTCGAAAATCGTACGAGTACGTTGACATCCTCCTAGATTCGATGTACGATGTAAATATTTGCCGGTTGGGGAAGATAGGATCGATAAATTTTTGGACAGTTCGAGCATTATTCGGAGCGCGCACAAAGAGTCGTAAATCCTTACGCAGCTGTCCCGATTCTCCTATTATCGCTCGGTTATATTTTCCTTGCTATCCATTCATCGGAATCTCGACGCGAGCCACGCGAGACCGCGATACACGCGATACACACCAGAGATACGCGCTCGGCCTAATCTCGATAATGCGCACAACCCTTTGCTCCCTCTCCCTCTCCCTCC